GGAAATGAACTTTTGATACTTAAGTACAAAAAATATCAGATACTTTAAGACTTTTACTCAAGTAATATTTTTAGAGAAGACTTTAACTTTTACCAAAGTATTTTATGATAAGATACTTGTACTTTTATTCAAGTATAACGTTGAAGTACTTTGTACAACACTGCAGAAAAGCAGCATAAAGGGATGATGATTTGGACCTGGAGAAAACCCACCGGTGCATAAGGAGAACCTGCAAAGAAAACCCCCGCAGGTCCACACCAGGATCGAACCCTGTATGTGGTCCACCCTGCAGCCTCACGTCAGCCACAGACCCAAACTACTAGACCAGAAGCAGAACCAGAAGCAGAGCCAGAACCAGCAGCTCGGTCCTACCTGCCAGTCTGAGCGCCGACATCCTCTGGAACTCGGGCTCCTGCAGCCACTTCCACATCCTCCTGAAGGTCTCCCGGCCGGACTTTAGTTTACTCCAGGGTTTGGGGTTCCTCAGCAGGTCCGACAGGGTCCCCTGGGAGCGGCACAGCACCCGCTGGGCGAAGATGGCCTGCGGGATGCTGTACCTCTTCAGCTCGGCCGTGATCCTCTGCGCCACCTCCTTGGTGTTGATCTCCTCCTGCTGCCCGGAGCCGGGGCCCGGGCCGGGGGCCCCCGAGGAGGAGGGCGGTCTGTCCCGGGTAGAGGCCAACACGGGCCCGTGGGACGGGGACTGGAGGTGGGGGTGTGGGGGGTGGTGGCCCGCCGAGGACGCGACCGGGTGACCCGGGTGGTGCATGCCGTTCAGGTGCGGCATCATCCCGGCCGCGGGGCCGCCGAGGCCCCGGTGCTGGTGGTGGTCCCCCCGGGCCAGCATGGAGGCGGTGGCCGGGTCGAAGTTCAGCATCTTGTCGTGGCCGCCGTAGTTGTGGAGCCCCTGCTGGGGGTTGTGGATGGAGCCCAGGCCGTTGCCCAGCACCGGGGACAGGCTCTGACCCATCCCGGACATGTGCTCCTTGTAGGGGCTGTAGAGGCTGTTCATGCCCGGCAGCCCCCGCTCGTCCCGCATCAGGGTGAAGCTGCCGCTGACGTTCCCGGGGAGCCGCTGCTGCTGGTGGTGGTGGTGGTGGTGGTGGAACTTGTCCGACACGGTGGAGATGGGCGGCAGCGGCTGCAGCGGGGTCAGGGTGGTGTAGGTGCCGCTCATGCCCATCCCGGGGGAGGACGAGTCGCACGGCACGCTCATGGCGTGGTGCAGCGGCAGCGACAGCTCCGGCCGGTACTCCCCGCTGCCGTCCAGGATCGACGCCATGCCGGACACCATGGCCGAGCGGGAGGAGGCGGCGGCGGCGGCGGCCAGGTCCTGGTGTATCCGCAGGGTGGCGGCAGCAGCCGCCGCCGACGAGCCGCCGCCGCCGCCGCCGCCGCGGCCGTGGTGCGGGCTGTGGCCGCTCATCAGCTCCGCGTCAGGCGCCACGGAGCTCACCGACACCCCGCCGTGCAGGCTGCCGATGCCGTCCATTGTCATGTCCGTGTTCATGGCGTAAGCGTCCAGGTCCTTGGCCAGGCATCGATAGGCGTTAGTGTAGGCGGTCTTCATTCATCTGTCCTCAGTCCATCAGGTCGAGCGGAATCAGGTCTCCTTCTTTTCCCGCCGCCGCCGCTCCGGGATGGGTCAGTAGCCGTGGTCCCCTGCTTCTCCTCACCCGCTCGCTTGTTTCCCAGTCCCCCTATGGCCTCTCCAGCTCGGCGTCGTGGTGTTTTTCCCCCGGTGTGAGCACATGAAGAAAAGAAAAACAAAAACCTAAAAACAAAAAAACATAAACAGTATTTCTGTGGATCAGACGGGCCTGCGCCGCGGCTCCCCCATACCAGCCCTCTCCTCCTCCGGTGTGACTCTGCTTCAGGCAGGAGCTGTCCGCGGTCCCCTTCCCAGCCCGCTGAGCGGAGGGGGGAGGGGCCGCCTTCTCTAGACTGACAGCGGAGTGGACCAATCAGAGCGACAGGAACATATCTGAGGGGCGGGGCTTGATGGAACACTAACCAATCAGTGCCTTTTATCAATATAGCTTCATTGTTTTGAATTTAAACGCCATCTTTAATGTTTTAACACTGGAGTAAAGCTTTTTAACGTAAAGTTTATTTATATAGCGCCAAAGCACTTCACATAAAACAGAATAAAAACAAGAAAGTAAAATAGTAAATTAAAACATCACCACAGCATTACAATTCATACAAGAATATAAGTAGTAAAAAAAACACTTTTACTTACGTTTACTTTTACTCCAAAATGTTCTTATTTTATATCRTAGTGTGTTATAATTTTGGATCCAGAATTGTCTACAAGTCTTTACTTATCCCTAGTTTTAAATTTTTGTTTTCATGCAGCCAAACCTTTGTAWTAATTCTTTAAAGTGCCTGTGACATGAAATTTTTGTAATAAATATGAACGCATTTTTGGAAAGCTAACATTGCTAACATA